TCTCTCTCTCTCTCTCTTTCTCAGTTACTGCATCAATGGCCGTCTGAACTGCCCTCGGCAGGCAGAGATGTTCTTGGGTAAGTGGGTCCCAGGAGGTGGCCAGCAAGAGCAGTGTAACAGAACCCTGCACTGCTCTACTGCTGTTCCCCAGTCCACCTAACTGGCCCTCTCCCTCCCTGCAGCATCCTGCCCAGAACCCAAGACCTTCCAGTCCTGCAGTCAGTCCTCGGAGGACAAGTTCGGGGCTGCATGCGCCCCCACCTGCCAGATGCTGGCCACGGGCATCGCCTGTGTAAGAGGCAGTGAGGAGCCCAGTGGGCCATGCTCTGCCCCCAGTGTCCCTCCACCTCCATCTACATCCCAGTAGCTGGTGCTGGGTGTGGGGTCAGGAGCTAATCTGTGGTTGGGTATCTGGAGGACAGGGTCCCTGCCTGTGGGATTCTGTGAGGACAGCTTGGGAATCGTAGTCACCTGTCCCTGTGTGTGTGATGGCCCATTCTGATAAACACAGGCCTGGAACCTTCCTCAAGGAAGGATGGCTTTGCTAAGATCAAAGCCCAGCTGCCCACAGAAGGACTCCAGAACTGAGTGGAGTGGACAAAGGGAAAGCCCTAGGAAAGACACTGAGAGTCTCAGGACCTGGGATGGGGGTGGCAGAAGACTAAGGGGCCACTGACGCTGACTCCCTACCAGGTACCCACCAAGTGTGAATCCGGCTGTGCCTGCCCCAAGGGGCTCTATGAGGACAGTAATGGGCAGTGTGTACCTGCAGAGGAGTGCCCGTGTGAATTTTCAGGGGTCTCCTACCCTGGGGGTGCAGAGCTCCATACCGACTGTAAAACCTGGTAGGTCATGCCCTACCCTGGACACCCAGACCCCCTGGGGCTATCTGGGCAAGCAGGGGCTCCCAACGGTGGAGTGTTCCAGAGGTAGGGTGCCTTAGGGTCACAGCCTAGGCCTCTAGCTCACTCCCCATGTGGAAAGGCTGACTCTAACTACCCCTCCCTTGCCTTCTCACCAGTACCTGCTCACACGGGAGCTGGACTTGCCAGCAGAGCGCACAGTGTCCATCCACCTGCGTCCTCTACGGAGAAGGCCACATCATCACTTTTGATGGACAGCGCTTTGTGTTCGACGGCAACTGCGAGTACACCCTGGCCACGGTAACCATCCAGCCCAGTGTCAAGGGCTACAGAGAGCCAGGGGTGGGGACCACAAGGGCTTCTCCTCAACACCCCTTCCCTGCAGGATGACTGTGGCACCAACAGCTCGCAGCCTACCTTCAAGGTCCTGACAGAGAATGTCATCTGCGGAAAGTCGGGGGTCACCTGCTCCCGAGCCATCAAGATCTTCACGGGCGTGAGCAGCTGGGCCCCACAGGGTGGGAGGGAGAAGGCTCCGTCTTGATGTGGGCCGTCAGCCCCAGGTCTCCCCAGCTTCCCCTTTCACTGTGCAGACCTTCCACCAACCCTTCCTATCCATGTGACAGGGACAAGTGTCCAGAGACTGTTGATCCACCAGTAGTTGCACACTCAGGACTGGTTCGGGAAGATGGGAAGCTGCTCTCCAGCAAGCTGGGTCTACTTCTACGTGTCTAGAACCTTCTGCCCAGAGTTGGCTCTCGGAAGATGCCCCTACACGGCTCTTGTCATTGTTGCAGTTGTTGCTTTGAGACAGGGTCTCATGTAGCCCAGGCTGGCATCAAATTCGCCATGCAGTTTAGGCTGGCCTTGAACTCCTTATCCTCAAAAAGATGTGAACTCGTGTGTATGGTTATATCTCTGTGCTCAGGTTACAGGCATGTGACAGCATTCCTACCTACATGTTCTTGACAGACATGGTCAGTACTGCTTAAGGAACTTAGTCCAGGGACAGAGCCCAGCTACAGGACAGCCAGCTAACCTGGGTACTGAGGTGAGGGTAGGAGGAACAGCAGGCAGTTAGTGACAGCTCCACTCCCACAGGGCCTGTCCATCACAATGGCAGACAGAAACTACACAGTCAGTGGGGAGGAGCCTTTGGTGCACCTTCAGGTGAAGCCCAGTCCACTGAACCTCGTCCTGGACATGAGCATCCCCGGGAGGTTCAACCTGACACTTGTGTGGAACAAGCACATGAGCATCTCAATTAAGATCCAGCGTGACGCTCAGGTACCTGCCACGTGCTCACTGGGGCACACACCAAGGTTCTGGCTGGTCTCAGGGTGGGGGCCCGTGTAAAGCCTGCCTGGCCTCAGCCTGTTGTTCCCACAGGATGCCCTCTGTGGCTTGTGTGGTAACTCCAACGGGAACATGAAAGATGACTTTGAGACACGCAGCAAGTACGTGGCATCCAGCGAGCTGGAGTTTGTGAACTCATGGAAGGAAAGCCCACTGTGTGGAGATGTGAGCTACATGGTGGAGCCTTGCAGCCAGAACACCTTCCGCCTCTCCTGGGCCGAACGCAAGTGCAGCATTATTAACAGTCAGACCTTTGCTGCCTGCCACAGCAAGGTGGGCTCCATCCTCCAGTGTGGGGTCACTGAGCACAGCCCTCCTACTGTGGGGCTCCCAGGGTGGCCAGAGTTGTCAGGTATGGCAAGGGCAACACCTACCACCTGAAGGCAGGCCCCTCTGCACATAATGCCCACCTCTGCCTGCTACAGTCCCA